AGCAAGAGAGAGAGAGAGAGACAGAGAGAGAGAGGCAGCATCATGGTCGATGACAGCGGTTGCTAGGCAACAAGGGGACATGTGAGACTCTCTCTTCAATTTGATATTTGCAACAGAGCAGCAGCGGGGCGAGGGAAAACAGACAGGGAGACAGACAAAGAAAGGTAGAGCGAGGACACGAAATGGAAGCACTTGGGCTAAATAAAGCGATCACAGGGGGGGGGGGCTCCATTGAGTCCAAGATCATTAGAAGTAGTAATAGTAAAGATTTAGGAGCAGCGAGGGCCGGGGTTGGCTCAATGCTCCTCTAAGTGGTGTTATTGAGGACACGACATTCTCATATTTCACGCACGAGAGAGGTCGCAGACTGTGAAAAGGTAGAAAGAGTTGGCAGGAGTCGGAGAGAGAAAAGGAAAGTGTATTTATTCTTCTTTCAAGTTTCCTTCTTTAACTTTAACCTGAACCACCGCGCGCTCAATAAACGGCCTCATATCAAAGGTACTGAATGTGTGTGCTGTAATCTGAGCTTCTCTGTGCTTTGGGGATATGATTATATACTAGTCCTTGCTCTTGGTGTGTTGGAATCTGATAATTTACTTATGGTCAGAATGTATTTCGGGGCAGCACGGCGGCTCTGGGGTTCTGAGTGACTGTGTTGTTTTATCGCACCGTGAAAACTTTGTGCTTGTCTGAGTCGCTAGCTTCTGTGTTGCTGCCGGTCTCTCTGTGAATCCAGTGGGACTTCGGTTTACTTGAAGTCCAGAGGCTTCGCCTTATTTTTAATAAGTTCCTTTTCTCTAATGTTTGCAGTTTCTTTTCTGTCTTTGTAAAGTTAAACATTTCTTTTTCTCTCTGAGAGTGCGGCTTCAGGAATTGGGAGGGCTGAGGTTTTTTGTGTGCCTGCTGTGCAAGCTTCTCTTAAAACATCACAAATAAGGATTATAACAACGCAGCCTTTTCCCCTCGTCCCGACGCCTGAAACGTCACAATTCTCATCCATCTGGTGGTAGTGGGGAGCTTTGATCAAGTTGAGTTGTGCGACGTCAATCAGCGGCGACGGGCCGCTGTCAAACACGTGTGTGTGTGTGTGTGTGTGTGTCAGCGCGTATGACACACACACACACAGGAGGTTGTGTAAGGATGTGTGATGTGAAGCCTTGCTGACAGCCGTGGAGTCTGTCCATGTCTCGGATGGTGTTAATAGGTCGGAGAGAAGATTACTTTACAAATGACCCACTTTGGGAAAGTGTGAGAGCTGCTAGAAACTATCCACTGAGAAATGATGAATGCATTAAAAGCTGCTGTATGTAGGTCACGTTTTAAACAGTTTGTAGATTACATAGATTACATCTCCTTAAGAAGTGTTCTGATAATTATTTGACAATCTTTATTTATTTTTGTATTACTAGTAACTTATGATTAGTTTGTTTGAAAGTAAAAGGATCAGGATATGTTTGACATATTCAAGACTTTAGTTCATCTTGTATCTCCAGCATGACCTATGACCTATCAGATCATTGTTCAAGAGGCACACACATTATGAATTAAGAGGTCAGAGAAACAAAGTGTGTCAAACAGTGCTGGTAACATCAAGGCATTCATCTTACTGGTCACTTACAGGACTATTGCTTTGAAGACATGAAGTGATCGTTAATCGATCAATAGGAATCTGCTGCTGCAGCACAATGTTCCCATTTCCTACAACACAAGTCAGGCTGAAAAGGAACGTTTTGATCGCCGACACCATGACTGTGCAAACTGCCTTGTTGACATTTACTCTGGGCTTTGTGAAAAGTGGATTAGAGATGTGTTAGAGACACAATGTGAACAGAGGAATAAACAAACAAAACCCAAGGAGATGAAAGAATCACACAGATGAAGTCAATTCTGCAAAGTCATCTGGTGCCTTTTTTTGGTAAACACACACTCCTAGAGCAATGAAATAAAAACACTGTCGTGGTTTAGTGGTTTTGCTTCCCTGTAGTATTTACCTGCAGGTGGCAGAGTGCAGGCCTTTGGGTGGCTGGCGGCAGCGGGCGGGTTCTTCCTACGAGGAGGACTCCCACCAATCAGATGAGAGTGATGGACCCTGGAGACGGTAGGAGACTGGGGGATGCTGGGGAGAGTGCGGGACTTCGCCAGTATGGGTCTCTGCAGCTTCCTCTCCAGTGACCTGGTCGGACAAATAGCAAGTAGTCAATCACATGGAGCAATTATCACAATAACAGCTCATGAAAATGTCCATGAAAGTTACCACCCCCCCCCGTCACTGGAAGCGGATCTTTTACTGGTCAGTATGAACCGGAGGAATACTTGCAGCAATGTTCAGGAAGACAAACCTGTTTTAATGTTCACACAGCATCATTAATTATTCATTATTAACCTGTCCTGTGAGCTATAACCGTGCAATACCAGCACATGCACTGTACACACACACGCACACACACACGCACACACACACACACACACACACACACACACACAGCTTAATGAGCAACAGGAGAGCAGCTGCACTGATCAATAGTGAAATTGCTTCCACCTCAGCATAATCAAGCTGGAGGCCGTTTGGAACGCGACCAATAGGAATTGCTTTATTTTATAGCGGCTGCTACCCAACGCTCTCCGGCGGGACTCCAGTCAATAGCCACAATCACAAGATCGGCTTAATAGCAAATTGTTGACAACTTAAAAGCCACAGCACACTCAAACAATCCGCATATATCACTGACGAGAGGCGAGCTGGTTTTGTATGTTAATCTAAAAGACGACACAGATGGGTGTGTGTTTTTTTAATCACCATTATTGTTTGTTTGCTTGCTTGTTCTGCTGCAGCGTCCTTCTATCACGTCTTTACCTCGTTGTCTCTCTTTTATCTGAAGTAAATACATTCTTCAGACCTTTTCAGGTGAGTAGCTGACACAAAAGACTGTTTCATTTCCTAGATTGCCAGTATTACATGACACTACACCAGATTAATATTACATGGAATCATCCCAAAAATCTTTGTGTCCCGTGTATAATAGAACAGAGGCACGACCTGAGAACAAAACAATACCGTGGAAACATTCCTTTAAAGTCAACTTTTTCGCGTTATTACATCGAATCTCACACAAAACCATGATTGCATTGCATGTAGATATGTGGCCATAGTGACCATGGCGAGTTTGGCAACTGTGGCAACACAAATTCATGTATCATCATCACCCAATGACCATCATCAACATCAGCGGATGTAAGAGCCAATTACATTATCCTTTGATCTATGCATGGGATCACATCTAATCCATTAAACGCTTTACAATAGCAGGTTATTAATCATTACTCAATAATTAATGAGAGAATCAAATGATGCGGCCTCGTTCAGTTGCTGATGCACTATTACACACTGAATGGCAGCTCTTCTTGGTGCCAGCGTGTTTTACAAGCTACTTTTTTGAAACATAATTTTATAAACAAGTGCTCCTCAGTAACGCTCTAAATGCTGGCCGTGTTCGTGGGATGTACTTCAGTTCTCCTTTAGCTCCCTTGGATGTCTGGCTCAGGATGTATTCTCAGGCTTGGGGCTGTTTATCACTTGGGAGCTATCAGGTAAAACCGACAGCCGGCTGTAAGTCAGCACATCCGGAGGCTAGAGGAGCAAAGTACTGACATCTGCCCGCTGTCAGCGAGTAAACGGCTCCCCCTGACAGAGGAGGTGGGGGTGTTGCAGTTGTGAATATTTGACCTGGGATCAGAGAATCCCTGGATGGGATTCAAAGCGGAGATGTGGACGGTCTGATGATGAATCATGCTTTCATATTGCTGGATATCAGAGGAAGAAGAGCCGCTCGTGACTGTTTACATGCAGGCATGGCGCACGCGCGTGCACTCACACACACACACACACACACACACACACACACACACACACACACACACACACTTGGATGGTAATAGAAACAGGCAGGTCCCTCACTCCTCAGAAACCATACTGAGGGTCCACCGGTAAACACATGCACAAAAACAGTTGTTGGCCTCCCACCAGCACATCATGATGATAACACACTGGGCTGAACAGTCGGCCCAGGCCACTCTGACAATTTGGGCCCACAAACCTGTTGCTAAGCGACTCTGTCTACGGAAAACAGGGGGAGAGGAGAAGAGAGGAGAGGAGAAGAGAAGAGAGGAGAGGAGAGGAGAAGGGAAGAGAGGAGAGGAGAGGAGAAAAGAAGAGAAGAGAAGAGAAGAGAGGCCTTTTTTTTTTTTTTTGAGCAGCAATCTGCATTTTTACAACAAAAAAACAACAACAATGTCTTGCCCTGAGTTGTAAGCATCAAGCGTGCCACATGTTTTCTGTTGCCTACTGTATTATCTCTGGTGCTGCAGTCGAGGGAGAAGACTCACTTCCTTTGTTAAGAGTCTGTGTGTGCAACCGCGCTGAAATATGACAGAAAACAAATATGATTTCTTTTTTTTTTTTTTTTAAATAAGAATCACACAATGAGGTACTTAAGAGAGGAAGAGACGATGAAGCAAAAGGATTACAGGATGACTGCGTGGCGCTTGCCTGCATGCTAGCGAACCACGAACACACTCTGCACACACCCCGTCCTCTGGCTGTTTGGGTCTCTTTCTGGACATGATTGACAATGAAGGGCGCTCATGAAGACTTCTGGTCTATTTCTCGCTGCAGGGCTAAAATCTCATTTGCTCCCCGACTTCCAGAAGAAGAAGAAGAAGAAGAAGAAGAAGAAGAAGAAGAAGAAGAAGGTTTTACTGCAACAGATGTACAGCAATTTGTGTGAGTGACCTATTTCCAAGCTAAAAGTAGCAGATGCAACCCTTTGACTCTTCACAGCAAGGCGATGTACAAACTGCAACTGTTGAAGTATTTTCTCTACTAGAGTAGAATAATGCATGGTGAGTTTACACCCTGAACTTTGACTCCCAGGCTGCTGTATATGTGTCTCCTAGTAGTGAATGCTGTTTGAAGGTGGCTGTAGCTGCTGTAGTGAGAACTATCCATGGTGCTGAATCACCTCGTGACACACACACACACACACACTCACGTACCCAAAAGTGTGTGTTACCCGACGCACGGAGGGTTAATGAAACTATCCCCGGTACAAGAGGCAGACGATTAAACCATTATAAGGTTAAACACAGTTCAGACTCATGAGCGGTGTTGATATTAATGATATTAATGTCCTGTTCTTCTGAAGAGGTTATTCATTCATAAGCTAAACGTACTCGTTTGGTAGCGAGCCATTCATGCAGAGTCTTATTCAGTATTAATGTGTTCTCACTGTGTTCAAATGGGGGATGTGTGTTCTGGGGGTGAGGTGTTCTCATCTCTCTTTTGACTCTTCTTTTGTCTTTCTACTCTTTTTGAGACGTCGCCTTCTTCACAAAGAGATTCCTGGATGTTCAAAAAGTTGTACTCGACAGATAAAACCGACCCCGCGATCGCAGCATTTATACATCTCAGCGCTGAGCAGGGAAGATTTTTGATAACTCTCGGGAGGATCGGAGAAACAGCACGGACCCCATGAGGCAAAAAAAAAGGGTACGAACGGATTAATCTCCGTCTTTATCGTTCGGTCATTCAGTAGACGTCGGTCACGGAGTCGCTGGACAGAAGAGATCGAATGAAGCAGCTTGACTGACGGGCCGGAGCAAAGGCCAGGCGTTGTGGACCTGCAGACTTATCCCTCTACAATACAGAACGATGGACAATAACTATTTTTTATTGTTGCTGATCATTCATTATGGACTGACTGACTTGTCACCATTCATTATGGCTGTATCCCAGTGGAGGGCAGAGTAAAGGGCTGAAACTACAGCATTTCTCTTTTGGAAGGAAATTTGCATGTAATCTATAAAAGATGGGGGGGGGGGGAATAAAGGGGGAAACACAGCAAAACTGAAAGACCTAAAAGAATGTGAAAGCGTAAACACAGCTGGGATGTTGAAAGCAAAACATATAAAACAACACATGGAAAAACATATAAAAAAATCGTGTCAATTTCAAGTTGGCGTGCCTTCTAACACTTTGATAGCATCAGCACGGTGGAATTGTGTGGTTTCATTGTACCAAAGATAAACGTGAAGGTTAAAGTTCTAATTAAAAAGTTACAAAATACGTCAACGGAATCTGCCGTGAGTGGAAATGTGACGTCTTTAAGGCCAATGGGGGCAGAAGTTCAGTGTACAGAGTGAGCTTCTGGCAAGTCTATAATTAGAAGCACAGTCATTAATTAGTCTCAATAGAAGGCGGCAGGTGACACAGGTACTCGCTCAACAACACTGAAACGTTGGAAGTTATATATAGTTGCCACTTTTCTTCCTGCTCCTCTATTCTAGTCAGAAAAAGCCGAAGAGGCAGAGCTCAGCCGTCCTGCCGACTTTGATACCAACAAACTCCTCCAAGAGACAAAAGGGAAATGATGAAGAAAAGAAGCTAGACTGAAGTCAGAGCGAAGAGACGGGACGAGATGGACGGGCGTGGGAAGGGGGTGGCTCGCGAGAGAGAGACAGAGAGTGGGAGAGACGGACACAAAGAGACTGTGGGGATGAGAGAGAAGCTGGATTTGTGATGGCAGCGAATCGGAGTGCTTTTTTTTTTTGTATCGCACGTCCGCCCACGCTAACACTTGAGTGAATGATATGAGGTTTGATGGGCATTATTTCAAGGCGAGAGTAGTGGCAGTTTTTTTTTTTTTTTTTTTTTTTTCACATTAGCATTCTGATTTGTACTTTCAACCCGGTTATGTAATTTAACGTCAGATCAACAGCAATTTAACGGGATTCTTGTTTAAGCTGAAAGGACACTGCACAGATACAACACAGGACTCTATAGCGGTCCTGCAAATTATGTTTCCAGGGTGTGAACAGCTTCTGTGTGACACAAAATAAACTGGCTACAAACGGTGTTGCAGTGGAGGTAAAATTTCAAAACTCCATGTGATAAAAGTGCATCATTGCACAGTCCTATTGAGAGGTTAGAGCGATTTAGAAAAGTAGGACAGGAGGAGAGATTTAACACAACAGACATACACTTCAAAAGTACTTAACATTTGCATTGCTGCTTCAAACCCCCCAGATTTTCTTGGAAATACCTGGATGCAAATTAAGAGTTGTGATTATCACTGGGAACAGTGTGTGTGTGTG